TATGCCTACTCGCCCAGCGTTTAAAGGGTCTGCTCCTATCAATCTTTCGGATCGTTTGAACCAAGTGCTTCGGTGGGCCTTGGGGTCCATCGAAATTCTCCTCAGTCGCCATTGCCCTATATGGTATGGCTACAATGGAAAACTGAAACTCTTGGAACGAATAGCGTACATTAACACCATTGTTTATCCTATCACCTCCATTCCGTTGCTCGCATACTGCATTCTCCCCGCTATCTGTCTCCTCACGGGGAAATTTATTGTTCCCGAGGTATGTGAAAAATTTTCATTTCCATCGCTTCCTGTTTCTAGGTAGGGGTGTAAACGAGCTGAGCCAAACTCGAGCTCAATAAACAATAGGTAGGCTCGAGCTCGATCGAACTAGAAAATTGAAGCTCGAGCTCGAAGTTGACCGAGCTTTGACCAAGCGACTCGTGTGTATATATATATATATATATATATATATATATATATATATATATATATATATATATATATATATATATATATATATATATATATATATATATATATATATATATGGCTCGCGGGCGGCTTGACGAGCCACGGGCCTAAAACATTTGAGCTCGAGCTCGGCTCGATTACAAAGCGAGCAGAGGCTCGAGTTCGGCTTGAGCTCGAATCGAGCTTTGGCCGAGCTGCTCGGCTCATTTACACCCCTATTTCTGGGTGCTAGTTAATGGCACCAATAAACGTCTCTAGAATCTTGAATAAACATCTAATCGGTTTTCTGCAGATAAGCAACTATGCTAGCGCGTGGTTCATTCTTCTCTTCATCTCCATTTTTGCCACTGGTATATTGGAGCTTCGGTGGAGCGGTGTGAGTATCGAGGATTGGTGGAGAAACGAACAGTTCTGGGTTATCGGTGGCACGTCTGCTCATCTTTTTGCCGTCTTCCAAGGTCTTCTAAAAGTACTTGCCGGGATTGATACCAATTTCACCGTCACTTCAAAGGCGTCCGATGAAGACGGAGATTTCGCCGAGCTTTACGTGTTCAAATGGACGTCCCTTCTCATTCCCCCAACCACAGTCCTCATAGTCAACCTAGTAGGCATAGTGGCGGGCGTCTCGTTCGCCATAAACAGCGGGTACCAGTCGTGGGGCCCTCTATTCGGGAGACTGTTCTTCGCCATTTGGGTGATCGTGCACTTGTATCCTTTCCTCAAAGGTCTATTGGGCAGGCAGAACCGCACTCCTACTATCGTCATCGTCTGGTCCATACTTCTCGCATCCATCTTCTCGTTGCTATGGGTGCGAATCGACCCCTTCACCTCCGACAGCGCCAAAGCGGCCGCTGGAGGTCAATGTGGCATCAACTGCTAAGTTGCCCATTTTTCGTTAGACGAAGTTGTCTGCAATCACCAAGCCCGCACTAAACACCGCGTGCACCCTCATGTATATAGGCAAGAAACCAAACCGAGGTGCGAAATTGCACGCGGGATTGCCTTATAGTTAAAATTATTGTACTGTTGTATCATGTCTCTTTGCAAGAAAGTGTAGGTGTGAATGATGGACCTCAATTTGTTACATTTTTTAGTGTAAAGTATTCTTACAGGTTGGTTATTCCTTGTTGAGAAACATGTATGTATTCATGGCAGCAGCTTCAGATACACCTTCAATGAAATAAACATAGTAATTTATTTACGTTCTTTTAGTCCTCTGACTATTACTCATTTTTTAATTTTAGTCAGTTAATTTTTAAAACTATTAAATTTAATCCTTTTAAGTATTGAATCTTTTCCAATTGTAATTCACTATTAGCTTTTCCTTGTGTGAATCATTAATATTAAAGATAAGATTGAAAAGTTATGACGATTACACAAATTGTTTTTTTATAGTTTGAAAAACAAAGCTCTAATTTTTGTATTCTAATAGGCTTAATATTTTCGTTAATATTAATGATTCACATGAGGAAAAATTAATGGTGGATTAAAATTGGAAAGGATTTAATGCTTAAGGACTAAATTTGGTAGTTTTAAAAGTCAATGATTAAAATTGAAAATGAATAATAGTTAGAGGACTAAATTTGAAATTAATTATAACTAAGTAAGATGGTATTTTAATAAAAGTTAACAAAAATGTTCAAATGTGATTTGTATTGTCAAGTGCATATTTCTATAACTTGGGAGTGTTGGTTGAGTGGAAGTAAATGGTCTATCCTTAACTAATTTTGGATATGGAGCAATTTTAAATTTCCAGGTCAATACTCCCACGATTACTTCTATATGGTATATGTTAGAATTTATTTTGGAAATATAACAATAAAATTCCATGTAAAGTTATTTTAAACATTTTGATTGTCTATAAACTTTTGAGGGAAAATGTTCATAATTTTTAATCTCCAATATACCCTTGCCTACAAAACAACAAATTCGAATAAAAGAAAAAAATAATAATGAGATATATTTTACACTTTTACACACTCTCAAGTCTCAACTATTTGGTTTTCAAAAAAAAAAAAAAAAAAGTCTCAACTATTTGAAAAAAAAAATAAAAAAATACAATAACATAACTCGAGCTTGGTTAGTGGTGATTCTTCACATTCTCATTGCATTCCTTCCTTATCTAGTTACCCACAAAAGGTGAAAATCACTGGACTCCAACACCTCAACTTTATAGGATAGTGTATAAGTAAATACGGTAACTTAACTGCTTATTAAGTGGGATGACCAATGCCTAAAGACCCACCAGACTGGATGAAATTTCTATACTATAATTGTCAAGATTTGATCATACGTCTTTGTCCATAATATATTACCTAAGAACCAATTGAGTTGCTTGTGCAATCGTGCGGGCTCATTGAATTGATTATTCCTTCATCTAAGATTGATTGCTTTCATGAGTTCATGTGGGGGTTTGTGAAGTGAGGCAAAGATCATACATTCATCGTTCAAAAAAATTTGGTGTTTGTTCGCTATGTTGGAAAAATAGCTAAAATAACATTGTAAGTGGTTATTTTATGATGCAAATATATGTAGGGTTCACTTTTGATTTGAGTCAGGTCAGGATGAATTCGAGTTCTTTGTAGGGAGACAAAGAGATTCGATATATTGTACGCTCAAAATGTATAATTGGTGAATGAGAAATTGATTTTTTAAAATAGACTCATTTAATTAAGTTAAAAAATAGAGGTGGAAAGACAAAAAGAAGGAGATTTACACCACTATAGCTTTTGAGAAAGATGTTGAATTATATAGTATACAGGTTCTCTCTCGCGGGGATGACCTTGTGTACCCCTTATCATAAGGATTGATTCATTCAAAATTGACCCTTGATCCCGATCGTACTCTAATAATTGGACAATCTGAAACCACCCTCCGACATATACATTATACAGTCTGAAACCACCCTCCGACGACAAATTATGCTATGGACCCGTGTCCACCATGTGAATGGTGGACACGCTATACATTCTTAATTTCTATATTGTAGATTCATAATTTCTAAACTGTAGATTCATAATTTCTATACTGCACATTATAATTTCTGTAATATAGATTCATAATTTCTGTAATGTAGATTCACATGTTCTCTCTCTCGGGGATGACCTTGTGTACCCCTTATCATAAGGATTGATTCATTCAAAACTGACTCTTGATCCCGATCGTACTCTAATAAATGGACAATCTGAAACCACCCTCCAACATATACATTATACAGTCTGAAACCACCCTCCGACGGCAAATTATGCTATGGACCCGTGTCCACTATGTGAATGGTGGACACACTCTACATTCATAATTGCTATATTGTAGATTCATAATTTCTACAATGTAGATTCATAATTTCTATACTGCACATTCATAATTTCTGTAATATAGATTCATAATTTATGTAATGTAGATTCATAATTTCTAAATTGTATAGTTATCAAATTATGAACACATAGTTATCAAATTATGAATCTACAGTACAGAAATTATGTGTGCAGTACGTATAGAAATTATAAATCTACATTATAAATTTTATGAATCTATAGTATAAAAATTATGAATCTACAGTATAGAAATTATGAATTTACAGTACAGAAATTATGAATCTACATTATAAATTTTATGAATCTATAGTATAGAAATTATGAATCTACAATATAGAAATTATGAATGTACAGCGTGTCCACCATGCACATGGTGGACACGGGTCCAGGGCATACCGCTCCCCCTCCGACGTACCCAAAAGTATTTACCACATCATTTTGCATGTCAACAAGTTATAGATAATAACAAGGCACAACTCTATTTTCTTATTGATGGGGTGTGGACCCCATGGGCTTAGGGCCCAAGAAGAAAAGAAATCAAGCTCAGAGGAAGAGAGGTCCAAAAATAGATATGAGCTAAACCGAGGGGTCGGCTCGACTCAGAAGTCGGCGCGAGCAGGGTCGGCACAAGTGGGCGGTCAGCTCAGAAGTAGTCGTTAGCATTTAAGAGACCTATTAAAAGGTCCGGTCAAACAAGCCGTTGGGGAGGCCCAATAACGGCAGCCCAACGGCTTCCTCGTTAATGAAGGTCCATTATGGCCCTTAATTGTAAACAATCATTATTGTATGGACCATATTTTGTCTACTGTAAAATAATGTACATTCAGTACAAAAATAATGTACATTGTATTTAGGGGATGTACATAATTTTTGTTCTGAGTGTACATTATATTGTATAATGTACATTCAATACAAAAATAATATACATTTAATATATTAAAAATGTACTTTTTGTTATGGTCCACATAACATGGTCCACACAATAATTTGCCAATTGTAAAAGCTTTTAATTTTCCAAAGGGGATCCCATCCCTATAAAAGGTCTCCTCCAAAGTTGTAGAGGGGACGGCGAAAACAGGCCAAAAGTACATATACACTTACAACTATTATTTTATTTCTATTTTTGAAAGGTAAATTCACCAACTAAGATTGTGTTGGACATTCCTCACCCAAAAATCCTAAAACCAACACTTATATTTGTATAGTAGCTAATGTTGATAGCAGGATAGTAAACTTGGTCCCCCAAGCAAATATCCAACAAATACAATATACTCCAGCACATAATAATTTGATAAAATGTTTAGCCTTTGAAGGTAGATAAAAACAAATAAATTTTATAAAACCTTTTAGTTTTTGAAGGTACACAAAAAAAAAAAATATACTAAACTTTGTAGTTTTTTGTTAATTGAACTTTCTTGTAGACACAAATTAGACATATATATAGTTGCTTATAATAAGCCAGCAGCATAAGGAACTCCGGTGGCGGGTATCCACCGGTTTCCGGCTATAAAATTGGACACAGTATATTGAACCGCATCGGTTCGGTTAATGGCCCGATGATAGCCCGGCCAAGTAACCCTCCCCGTAGTATTCGAACCCGGCCCGGTGTTCTCATACTCCGCATAAAACAACGTGGTCAACGCAAAATCCCCGATCCACAAGGACCAGCCCGCCGGGCTAATCAACCCGCCCAAAAACGTCTGCATAAACACCGTTCTTGACCGCTCCTTCCAGGGCCGGCCCAAGAACGTCCGCGTGGAGGAGCGGTTGCCGGCGGCCGCCAAGTCCGCCGCGGCCGCGACGGTGCAGTTGTGGAAGGAAGCGCCGGTGTTCTGGTTAACGTCCGTTCTGCCCTGCGCCGTCACGGCGTTGAACTGGCCGGGCATCGGCAGGCGTGGGTATATGTTGCAGCTCTGCAACACGGCGGCGGCGTTGCCGAAGATGAAGTCCACGGTGCCGTAGACGTCGCATTCCCGGTAGAACTGGCGGAGTGAGTGGGTGAAGAGGGTGTCTTGGTAGGCCTCGAAGCTGCATTTGTAGAACGCCGAGAAATCGGCGTTGTTTCGGACCGCCACGGCTTGGTGCTTCATTGCGCCGGCGGTGTTCCGGAATGTCATGTTTATTGCAACAAATCCTTCTCCACTCAGACCTGTAAATATATATGCATGGTTACATTATTATAATAGGTATATAAATGGATAAATGACTAAAATGTGTAGTCAAACTTGGGAAATTCACAAACTATGTAGACTTTTTTTTTTTGACAAAAATATGCAAAACTCCTTTGGGAGTTGCGTTTTTGGTGTTGTCCGCGCGTATTTTTTTTGTTTCGGTATTTCCGTAAAACGCAAGAGGTGATTGCGTTTACCTATTCGTACACGTAAAACGCATTACAGGTAAAAAAGCAACTTACTTTTGCGTTTTAGGTATTATACCGAAAATGCAAAAGTAAGTTGCATTTTTTGGTTTTTTTTGTACTGGCAGTTTCCGGCGACCCCGAAGAACGGCGAAAACCACAGATAACTGCTCTGTTTTCTTCAATCATTTCCCATTCCATCGTTCAAAATTTTTCAAAAAAAATCCATCGTTTCCTATATAGACTGGTGCGTCCTCTCTTCTCTTCTTGTTATCATAATCAACAACAATGGCGAACCAAACCCAGAACAGAAAGCAGAATCAGAAGCAGAACAGAAACGCCGGCGGTGCTCCACCGGCACCGAACGCCGTTGTTCAAGACCAAGAAGAGTTCAGGCTCCGGGAGATGGCGCCGCTGCTCGGCGGCGGGAATGAGAGGCAGGCGACGGCGTTTGACCTGGTGGAGCAAATGCAGTTTCTGTACTTGAGAGGGGTGAAGGAGAAGGAGTTGCCGGCAAACGATCATTCCCCTCACCCTTTTGTGGAAGTGAGGATTGGGAACTTCAGGGAGCTCACTCGCCACTATAAGAACAATCCCAATCCTGAGTGGAACCAGGTTTTCACTGTCCTTAAAAACCAGATTCATCCACCATATTTGGGGTGACCTGGCATGGCGATTTCAGCAGAATATGAACCATAAACAGGGCTGTAAAAAAATCATAATGGCAGAGAGCACAATGCCGACAATGGCACGTTGTATCCTTTTCGGAGTCATCATCTACGGCGAATCATAAACAAACTGTAACGTAATTCATCATAGAATTCATTCTTGCGTTTTTCACATAATTCCCGCGGATTAGCGACGATAAATAGTCGGCATTTCGGAGTTGCGTTATACGTATTTTATAGGATTATACCTAAAACGCATCTCCCAAATGCGTTTTAACGTATTCCATACGTCACATAAAAACGCATTTGACCGATGCATTTAAGGTATACAATACGAAAAACGCAACTGGCCGTTGCGTTTTACGTAAATAATGAAAAAAAAAAATACAGCTGAGACCACAACAAAAACGCAACTGGAAACTGAGTTTTACATATTTTTGTCAAAAAAAAAGTCAGCACACATTTTTGTCATTTCTCTTGCCCCTCTACACATTCCTGTCATTTATCCTATATATATATATATATATATATATATATATATATATATATATATATATATATATATATTTTGTTGGAGTACTATTGACCGGTTAAGTGTAGTATCTATTCATATATATTTTCTCAAAGTCTAACGAGTTAACACCGCCCACATGACCTCTCAGAGAGTCACTTCATGCCGCTTGAAAACAAGGTCTTTGGCATTTATTAATATTATTTAAGTATATAAAAATAATGTTGCAGGTCCATGAAAATGATATCAACGATAGTGAATTTATATGTACTTGCATAATGAATTTATATCTTTGCCGTAGTGAGTTTATTAACAATTTTTATGTATTTAAAACAATGTTGCAAAAATCCTGTCTAGGTACCGATTAATCGGTAGTTTAGGCGGCTGGCCGGCTAGGCGGCTGGCCGGCTAGGCGGCCTAGTGGCGTCTAGGCCTCCTAGGCGTCTTAGGCACCGATTAGGCTGCCTAGGCACCAACTAAGTAGCCTAGTCGGTCAATTAACTATTGTTCCATTCTTTTTTAAATGAGTTATTTCACTCAAAAAGACATTGTTTTGAGCGAAAACTCCTAAATTGTTCAAACTCTAGATGTTTTTTAGGTTAATATTTAATATTTTAGTATTAACTATTAAAGTATTATATAGTTTGAAATTATCAAGTCTTAAAAAATTAAACAAATTTTTTACAAATAAAAAATACATGGGTGCCTAGCTGGATTAATCCCCGAGAGCCCGATGGGCGCCTAGCGATTTTTTCAATCATGATTTAAAATAATGACTTTATATGCTTGTAGATTATTTTAAAAATTTTGAAAGAATATTTATATAAGTGTCATTTAAAAGATCTCAATTAGCCAAGAACCTTGTAGTCCAATGACACCAAGTTGCTCCCTTATAAGGGAGGTTGTGGGATCGAGTTTCAGATGAACATATACTACATTGTGATAAAGTCAGTAGTATTATTCAAAAAACAAAAAGATCCCAATTAAAGCTTTTTAATTCTTTATTTTTCGGTAACTCTACCGTGAGATTGTCTCATAAATCTTTATTCGTGAGATGAGTCGAATATAAATAAAAATGTAATACTTATGATGAAAAAGTGTAATACTAATCAGAGATAGACTACTTGCTATTTATGAAGGAAAGTGTGATACTAATTAGAGATAGATTAATTGTTATTTATGCACAAACACTTTTATATTTACAAATTTAGCCAAATGTATATACTAAATTCCCAATTCTATAATCCAAAATTTCACAATTGTTCTTTGTTTTCAAATTTTCTTTGTGAGTTTGTGACGTTGTTGTCGGATGGCAGACACAGGTGAAGAAGTCGGTTCAATTTGGACTTATTTTAGATTGAGAAATTTGAAATATGTATTGTGGACTTGTTGTTTAGATTTTCAAATTTAAATTATTAGTGAAAATAAATAAATAATTATGTGCGCAAGAGAACTAGTTAGGGAATGTTTGAATTCTAAAACTGAATCGAAATTCGAGCCGAAACTGAACTATATCAAACTGAATCGAACTAAAATTTGAAATTGAATGGTTTCATTTTTCAAAACCGAAAAAAACTGAAACCAAATCGAACCTTTAAAAAAATCGAAATGCCCACCCCTAGTTATGACCGTATCTATTTTTTACCTCTCAGTTATGAGCAAAGTGACCCGTTTGGTCCCTGGCATTATGTTTTGTCTCAACATGATAGAAACTCAAAAACCTGCTATTATTGGAGGGATACAATAGAAAATTCACATCTTATTCTCCTTCGTACATTGAAACCACTTTCACAACATTATTTTTCAATTTCCAACCTAGCTCGTATTTCAAGATTCTTCAACTCACCACATCTAAAAACATAATAAGTGTCAATCCAAGTTATACCTTTTGTCCTTCATTTTATGGCTATTATATTTGTAGATTAAGTTTAAAATATTGTACCTCACATTTTAGGAATAAGGGTCAAATAGGCCATTGAACTGCACACAATAATGCAATTAGGCCACTGAACTTTAAAAAACAACAATTAGGCAACTAAACTAACAAAATTCATTCAATTAGTCTAATTTATAGGTTTTGTAGGTTAGTAACAGGTCACCTAAAAATTTTAAAATATTTTTTTAAAAAAATATTATTTAAAAATAATAAATTAAAATTTAAAAAAAAAAAGGTTTCTTCGCTCTGCCGTAGACGAAGAAAGTTTCTTTGTCTCCGGCCATGGAGACGAAGAAAGTTACTTCGTCTCCGGCCAGAGACGAAGAACCTTCTTCGTCTCCGGCCAGAGATGAAGAACCTTCTTCGTCTCCATGGCCGAAGACGGAGAGTCTCTTCGTCTCCATGGCCGGAGACGGAGAGTCTCTTCGTCTCCGGCCATGGAGACGAAGATTCTCTTCGTCTCTGGCCAGGGACGAGGTGGAGACGAAGAAACTTTCTTCGTCTCCATGGTCGGAGACGAAGAAACTCGTCTCCGGCGGAGACGGTTAAACTTGTTTTTTTTTTTTTTTTTTTTTTTTAAATAAAATTTTTTAATTTTAAATTATTATTTTTAAATAATAATTAAAAAATATATATTTTAAAATTTGGGTGACCTGTTACTAACTTGCAAAATCTGTAAATTGGCTTAATTGCATGAAAATGGTTAGTTTAAGGACCCAATTGTTGTTTTTTTTTTTTTTTTTTTTAAAGTTCAGTGGCCTAATTGCATTATTGTGTGCAATTCGATAACCTATTTGACCCTTATTTCCACATTTTATTATGACAAAATTACATCAACTCTGCCGTTAGTCTTTTGTTAAAACTATTTAAGGATCATTTATTAAATGGTGATATTATAACAATTTATTTAATCATACTATATTTATTAGTCATTTAATTAATTTTATCCCAAAATTATTAACAAACGTATTAAAATTACTTCTTCTTTTTTCCGCTATAAACATAAATAATACTCCGTAATATAATATGATAATATTTAATTTCATATTCATCAAATAATATATCTTTTTTTTTTTGTTTTCAAAAAAATAATATATCTTTTTCCAAACTATAGAACTTTTACAAGTATAACTATGATGATTTTAAAATAACATTTAAAAATTATTTGTTGATAAACATTTTTTAGTTAATAAATTTAAATTATGATTTTAGTATTGGGTTCAAAACCTTGACGCATTGCGCGCTAAAATGATTAGTCACAAAAATAAAAGTCAATCTTAGTCTTACATTTGTAAAAATAAAATAGGCTCACACAACTATGAGAACATGTTCTCATGAGAAAACTAAGTCAATATCAGCTTTAAATCTATAATCTATAAAAATTAAATAGATCATATTAAATTTTTAAAAAATATGATAGTATTATTGTAATTATCGTCAACTTTACAGTACAACTTTTAACACTATATTATGCAGTTTTTAAGAGTATATATAAATAATGTATTTCTAGATAATTTTTAAAAATATCAACGAAAAAAACTAAATTTAAAAACCTAAATCGTAAATACTAAACCTAAGCAATATAATAAAAGGTGAACCTCTAAACCAAATGTAAAACCAAAACATCAAATAAAGTCAAAGTGTACGTTGCAAAGTTTTCAATATTATCAAGAAATACACGTTATATTATTAAGAAGTGCACTCCATAGTTTAAAAAGTGCACTCTATAGTGTTGAAAGTGCACTCCATTTGTATATATATGCATAATCTTGTTTGATCATATATTTCATTAGAGTTATATGACTGAGAGTATCCTTTCCTTTTTTATCCCTTTGAATTCCATATTCGAAGTTGCAATCGGATCTATTCATTAAAAAGAATCAATTCAATACACTTCTTATGTACCTATTATATTGGATTTGAATCAGATTTCGGATCAATCTATATTAATTGACTGCTTCCATTATGTTATTGCTAGCAAATACCACCATTTTTTGCTTTAGATCTCCCAAACCATTCCCGCAAGAGATCCAGACCCGTTTTTGTCTTATTCTTCGAAAAAAAATATTCATTCTCCTCATAATGAAAAAGAACAGGAGACAAAACCAATAAAGATTTCTTTTTCGATTCAGCCCTGGTGTTGAATACCCCATTCAAGAATTTTTTTGATCCAATCCGTACGAATCAATAGAAAAAGAAAATCCCCGTATTACAAAGTGCACTCCATAGTGTTGAAAAGTGTACTTTAAAGTTAATGAAATTTACAAAAATATCACCACAATTGTTTTTAATTTCATCAAAGCCGTGCAATTTTTTTCTTTTTTAAATATAAGGCTGAGATTATTATTATTATTATTATTTTGGAAGAAGTTGGGATTAATTCTTAGTTTTCTTCCTTGAGAAAATTCTCATATGATCATTTTTCCTCTGTGTGTGTATATGTATATGTATCTATGGATGCATATAAAATGATATATTGGGGTTGTGTGGGGCTTTGTGCAGGTATTGTATGTTAAAGTTGCATCCAACCTGGTCTATTTACGTGTTTAATATTTAAGATCCACCCCAATTTATCACTCATTATCACTCAAAAAACTCGATCAATATAAGATTATTTCGGGGGGTTGATATCTGCAAAGATGGATTAAAATTGTCATTCCTGCTGCCAAAAGTAGCCTAAGTCAAAGTAATGGCAAATTATGTTGTGCATCCGTGTGCACCATGCATGGTGCACACTGTTGCAAAAACAGCGTCGTTTTACTTAAATAAAAAAAAAAATCATTTTCGATTGCCGTTAGTTACGTAAACATATATTCATAATTTTATAATTTCACATTCTGAATGTATAGTTATGAAGTTATGGATGTGTAGTTATGCAATTCTGAATGTATAGTCATGCAGTTATGGATGTGCAGTTATGCATGCAATTCTGAATGTATAGTTATAAAGTTATGGATGTGTAGTTATGCAATTATGAATGTATAGTTATGAAGTTATGGATGTGTAGTTATACTTGCAATTCTGAACGTATAGTTATGAAGTTATGGATGTGTAGTTATGCAATTCTGAATGTATAGTTATGAAATTATGGATGTGTAGTTATGCAATTCTGAATGTATAGTTATGAAGTTATAGATGTGTAGTTATGCAATTCTGAATGTATAGTTATGAAGTTATAGATGTGTAGTTATGTAATTCTGAATGTATAATTATGAAGTTATAGATGTGTAGTTATGCAATTCTGAATGTATAGTTATGAAGTTATAGATGTATAGTTCAAATTATGCACAACATAACGTCGTTAATGGCAATCAAAACTGAATTTCTTTTTAAGTCGGACATCAAAACAACATCGTTTTTGCATGGTGCACACGGTTGCACAACCTAACGCTCCACAGTACATAGTGACACTAGCTACTTTTTTTCATTTATTATTATTATTATTATTATTATTATTATTATTATTATTATTATTGAAAGTGAGTTAAAATTATATGAATATAGAGAACTCAATTACAAATATGATGAATTGATGATATTGTAGTGGGATCATTTTCAAATGTGCAAAAGTCATGGATTCTTCATTATTGAAGCTTCCTTATTTTGACTTTTAGGTAGAGAGGTAGTAGAAGTGTCCCTCCGCCAGAAGTTTGCATTGCATTCACATTCAATAATTAATTTGTCCTCACAAATATTTTTCTCCCAAAAGGTTAAATCTCCAACTCCGGCTTATTAGAATATATATATAAAAAAAAATTTAAATGACGATAATTTAATGACTTAAACAGACATGACCAAATATTGATGCGCACAAAAAATCTGTTCACTTTGAACATAATCTCACATTGTTGTTGCCCAGTTACAATATGCCAAACTTGATCAATAATTCATTTGTTTACTGCTAGCTATTTGTTTTAAGAGTAGAGCCACTACACTTATTTTTTCCTAATTTTTTTAAATGACGAGAGAAAACCTATAGTCAGTATCTGATGGCATGCATTTGATAAATCCCGTATTATAATCCTAGTCCACACATACCATAATGAGGTAAAAAAACTTGCAAACTTAGGTGGCACATAGTTGATCGGTTCAAACCAAGACTCGTGTTGTAACCCTAGTAGAAAGCCAACAGACCACTTTCACTGGAAGTCGAACTTAGAATCTTATGATTACCAAGCCAACACTCTGACCAACTTGACTGCAGTTGTCTAATTTTTTCCTTCATTATGTGGTAACATTTAATTGATCCATTTTTTTAAAAAAATATTTAATTAATAAGAAAACTCTTTTTTTAACGCGGTGTGAGGTGACTAATTCATTACACTTCAAAAAGAAAAAATAGGAAGGAAGAAAAATACTATTATTTGTGTTTTAATAAAAGAAAGCTAATGCTATTCCCTCTCAAATATATATATATATATATATATATATATATATATATATATATATATATATATATGCAATGATTTTAAAAAGAAAATAATATTTTATATTCCTGTTCTATTTTACATGTCCTGTTTACTATTCATTAATTAAACCAACTTATTTATTTATTAATTTTTTAATTATCTTTAAAATTAAAAAATTGTGTTTTATAGTACTTTTAATGTAACTTTTAAATATACAAATTTTATATATTAATATTAAACTTAACATTATAAAAAAATTGAATTCAAAATAACTTCACTCAAGTAATTGAATTAGATATATGAAATGAGACAGAAGTAGTAAAAAAAATGTTATGGTAAAATTTGTATGGAATCTAGTAAAGAAAAACTTACCAAATGTGGCACAGCCGAAAGTAGTCCATCCATCAACAACACTCCGATTACCGGTAATGATTGTCTTGTTTATGCCTTCTCCAATCATCATCACATACTTCTTACTAGGGGTGTGCAAATTTCGGAGAAATTTCGGTTAACCGACCGAACCGACGAAATTCGGTTAACCGTTTTCGAACCGAAATATTTCGGTTCGGTTAATGGTTAAAGGTTTTCTTAAAATTCGGTTAACGGTTAATTCGGTTCGAAAGTGTCGATTAACCGAATTAACCGAACGGTTAACCGAATTTTAGAATATATATATAATATATAATATATTAAATATTAAATATATAATTACTAAAATAAAAAATAGTCAAAATGTCAAATAGAATACATAATAATATGAATTTATTATGATATGTATTTTATTTTAATTGGAATTATTATTTTAGGAATTATTTTATGGATTTTAAATTTTAGGGTTAAAAATTTCGGTTAATCGGTTAACCGACCGATTAACCGAAAAAAAGTTCGGTTCGGTCAATTCGATAGAGTAAATTTCGGTTCGGTTAACGGTTAAAGCAAAAAAAAGTTCGATTAATTCGGTTCGGTTAAAACGGTTCGGTTAACCGAACGGTTAACCGAATGAACACCCCTACTTCTTACTACTCCCGATTTTAACATACTCTTCGTACACCCCCGCCGCCACGCGAATCACGTAATACCCTCCGCCGGCTTCGCCGTTCTTAGGCGCCGCCGCCACGGCGGCGCTGACGGTGCTGTAGTCCCCGGTTCCATCCGGATTCACCACCACCGCTTCTCTCACCTTCACGTACTTCTCGCCGAAAACCGCCAGATCTCTTCTTCCGATTAGGTTCCGAGGAACGCCGGCGAGCCAGCCAAGCTTGAATAGGGCGAGGGATACGCTGTACAATAGGGAGCCGTTGGAGAGCGAAGGGGAGAATTCGGCGGAAATGTTGGAAGCGGAGGGCGTGGTGACGAGCTGGTCCCAGCAGGTCTGTTGGTTGCTCATGACGGCGCTGAGCAGCGATTGGGCGTCGCCGGCCGCCGATTCCGGGAGGCGATTCGCCGATTTGATGGAGCGGAGGACGTCGGAGAGGAAGTGAGTGTTCAAACGCAGGAGGAATCGGCAATCTCGCAGGACATAAAGCGTTGTTCGAATCGAGGATTCGTTGGATTTGAAGTATGAATTGAGGCGATTGAGAGAGTTCCTGGATGTGGACAAGGCAAGGCGGAGGGAAAGTCGCCCCAAATCGTTTATATTTGTGGAATTGTTACGAGGCAGGAGGGATTTGCAGAACTCCGGGTGGGGAGTCAGGTCGCAAATGGCGTCGGTTGAGCTAATTGTCTGCGAGAAAGAAAGCGAAGAAGCAGCATAGAGCGCGAGGAGGATGATGATAAGGAGAAAGCGCTGGAAAATTGAAGGCGAAGAATGGGTTAAGAAGATCGCCATCGCCATGGTCGAGTGAATTGAAGTTAAGAAACTATGTCCATTCGCCCTGGCCGACGTCTAAAGCCTACTACTATACACCAATTATAAGTATGAGATTTGCCGATTTGGAGAGTGGGAAACCAAATCAATGAACTTCACAGATGGGATATTGGGATTTGGGTATTATATTTAACATATTATTTATATATATATATAAAAAATACTATAGCCCCGTTTGACAAATCTAGCTAAAAAACTATAAATTAGGAGCTGAGAGTTGAAAATGAGCTGAAAGCTGAAAAGTTATAAGTTCGGAGTTGAAAACTGAAGAGCTGTTAAGCTAACTATTATGATTGAAAGTGTTCAGTAAAATTAATTTTTTGATAAAGTTGATAAATGTAAAAAAACTAAAATGGACATCTTCATAAACTTTAAATTAGTTTGTTTACATATTAAAATTTAATCTTTTGTCTTTAAAAAAAATTAACATTTTGAAATAAAACTATTAGCATAATCATGATCTAGCATCTCATAATGAAGTAGCAATATTGTTGCAAATCTCATAATAATAATAATAATAATAATAATAATAATAATATTTGCGGTGAAAGTTGGGATAAAGGAGAAGAGAAAAGGGTTTTAATTGAAAAGGGTAAATTATGTTATTTCTTTAAAATAATAAGGATAAAGATGGAAAATAAGTTAGGAAGCTAGGAGCTTATTTTGAAACGCTATCTAAGGTAGCGTTCCAAAATAAGCTCTTATTTTAAGTTAGGAGCTTATTTTGGGAACATTACCAAATAGAGCTTATAGCTTATTAGTAGTTTAAAATAAGCTATAAGCTCCTAAATAAGCTCTGCCAAACAGAGCCTGCACTTTCACTTTATGTAGACACTTGTATAGTTGTATGTGATCCACATGAAAAAAAAAAAAAAAAAAAAAAACCTTATCAGAATCCATCATATCAGGGAGGAGTATAATACATGCAATAAAACTCTATTAATAAAATTAGTATATCTACCGTGCAGCGACGCACAGATAATGACATATATTTAATAATTATATTATTTATAAAATTTATATAGTGGAAAAATAAATAAATAAAGAGTTAATTACCGAAATGGTCATTGACTATAGCGAAATAATCAATTTGATCCTTGACTATTTTTTTTGACCAATTAAGTGCATTTTCAAAAAAAATTGTAAGTGCTAAAAATAAGACCAACATTATAACATACCATTCAGGCCTAACCTGACCCAACAAATTCAAGCCCAATACCCGGGCCCAACCCAGATATGCTACCCAACCCGTTTCTTAGAAACAAAAGGGTTGCCCTACCCTTCATTTGCAGCCCTAAGCCGACCCTTCACCTCCCTCGCCGCTCTCTCGCTTTGTTCGAACATGATCAGACATCGCAATGGTGTAATCCATGCTTTCCGACATATGTTTTGTTGTATAAGGCTAAAAATCTGTTTATTTATGTCCTTATCCTTGTCCGCCTTCGATTTGGTCTGTAAACCATAGTTTCGCTCTTAGCTATTTTTGTTTCTAATCACTCCATACAAATCTGTTTATCGGAGTTTCATGTTCAGTAATTTCATATCTGAACATAAATCTCCTGCTTTCTACCCTAAAGTCGCTACTTTCTATCTCCAGTAAGAAACCCTAGATGGTTTCTGATGTTTGATTCTTCGGCTATATATGTTCATTTGGAGATGTTGGTCAGCACACCTAATTCCAAAAAATCCTAAAAGCTAACTACATCTGCTCTATTTTTTAATTTTTTTTTCCGTTTATGCAATTTTTTTGTGATTTCGTTCCTTTTTGATTTTTTGATTAAGATATAAACTGCTACGGTACACTCTAACAACTACTAATTTCTGCATTTTACTGTTTTTCAGGCTCAGAAGATGGAGGGTAAACGTCAAAAGGTAGTTCAAGTAATCTAACTACTGGTAATATAAAAAGCTATCGTTAAGTAAGACTTATAATTGTACCTTTGTTGTCAATTAGCTGCTTCCTCTTCGTGCCTATGATTTGTAACATAAGTAACTATCTTATTAAGTACACATAGCATAATTAATTAGACTATTGTACAACCTAAATTTGTAAATGCATTTTCAAAAAAAAAAAAAATTGTAAGTGCTAAAAATAAGGCCAACATTATAACATACCATTCAGGCCTAGCCTGACCCAACAAATTCAAGCCCAATACCCGGGCCCAACCCAGATATGCTACCCAACCCGTTTCTTAGAAACAAAAGGGTTGCCCTACCCTTCATTTGCAGCCCTAAGCCGACCCTTCACCTCCCTCGCCGCTCTCTCGCTTTGTTCGAACATGATCGGACATCGCAATGGTTTAATCCATGCTTTCCGACATATGTTTTGTTGTAGAAGGCTAAAAATCTATTTATTTATGTCCTTATCCTTGTCCGCCTCCAATTCGGTCGGTAAACCATAGTTTCGCTCTTAGCTATTTTTGTTTCTAATCACTCCATACAAATCTGTTTATCAGAGTTTCATGTTCAGTAATTTCATATCTGAACATAAATCTCCTACTTTCTACCCTAAAGTCGCTACTTTCTTTCTCCAGTAAGAAACCCTAGATGGTTTCTGATGTTTGATTCTTCGGCTATATATGTTCATTTGGAGATGTTGGTCAGCACACCTAATTCCAAAAAATCCTAAAAGCTAACTACATCTGCTCTATTTTTTAATTTTTTTTTCCGTTTATGCAATTTTTTTGTGATTTCGTTCCTTTTTGATTTTTTGATTAAGATATAAACTGCTACGGTACACTCTAACAACTACTAATTTCTGCATTTTACTGTTTTTCAGGCTCAGAAGATGGAGGGTAAACGTCAAAAGGTAGTTCAAGTAATCTAACTACTGGTAATATAAAAAGCTATCGTTAAGTAAGACTTATAATTATACCTTTGTTGTCAATTAGCTGCTTCCTCTTCGTGCCTATGATTTGTAACATAAGTAACTATCTTATTAAGTACACATAGCATAATTAATTAGACTATTGTACAACCTAAATTTGTAAATGCATTTTCAAAAAAAAAAAAAAAATTGTAAGTGCTAAAAATAAGGCCAACATTATAACATACCATTCAGGCCTAGCCTGACCCAACAAATTCAAGCCCAATACCCGGGCCCAACCCAGATATGCTACCCAACCCGTTTCTTAGAAACAAAAGGGTTGCCCTACCCTTCATTTGCAGCCCTAAGCCGACCCTTCACCTCCCTCGCCGCTCTCTCGCTTTGTTCGAACATGATCGGACATCGCAATGGTTTAATCCATGCTTTCCGACATATGTTTTGTTGTAGAAGGCTAAAAATCTATTTATTTATGTCCTTATCCTTGTCCGCCTCCAATTCGGTCGGTAAACCATAGTTTCGCTCTTAGCTATTTTTGTTTCTAATCACTCCATACAAATCTGTTTATCAGAGTTTCATGTTCAGTAATTTCATATCTGAACATAAATCTCCTACTTTCTACCCTAAAGTCGCTACTTTCTTTCTCCAGTAAGAAACCCTAGATGGTTTCTGATGTTTGATTCTTCGGCTATATATGTTCATTTGGAGATGTTGGTCAGCACACCTAATTCCAAAAAATCCTAAAAGCTAACTACATCTGCTCTATTTTTTAATTTTTTTTTCCGTTTATGCAATTTTTTTGTGATTTCGTTCCTTTTTGATTTTTTGATTAAGATATAAACTGCTACGGTACACTCTAACAACTACTAATTTCTGCATTTTACTGTTTTTCAGGCTCAGAAGATGGAGGGTAAACGTCAAAAGGTAGTTCAAGTAATCTAACTACTGGTAATATAAAAAGCTATCGTTAAGTAAGACTTATAATTATACCTTTGTTGTCAATTAGCTGCTTCCTCTTCGTGCCTATGATTTGTAACATAAGTAACTATCTTATTAAGTACACATAGCATAATTAATTAGACTATTGTACAACCTAAATTTGTAAATGCATTTTCAAAAAAAAAAAAAAATTGTAAGTGCTAAAAATAAGGCCAACATTATAACATACCATTCAGGCCTAGCCTGACCCAACAAATTCAAGCCCAATACCCGGGCCCAACCCAGATATGCTACCCAACCCGTTTCTTAGAAACAAAAGGGTTGCCCTACCCTTCATTTGCAGCCCTAAGCCGACCCTTCACCTCCCTCGCCGCTCTCTCGCTTTGTTCGAACATGATCGGACATCGCAATGGTTTAATCCATGCTTTCCGACATATGTTTTGTTGTAGAAGGCTAAAAATCTATTTATTTATGTCCTTATCCTTGTCCGCCTCCAATTCGGTCGGTAAACCATAGTTTCGCTCTTAGCTATTTTTGTTTCTAATCACTCCATACAAATCTGTTTATCAGAGTTTCATGTTCAGTAATTTCATATCTGAACATAAATCTCCTACTTTCTACCCTAAAGTCGCTACTTTCTATCTCCAGTAAGAAACCCTAGATGGTTTCTGATGTTCGATTCTTCGGCTATATATGTTCATTTGGAGATGTTGGTCAGCACGCCTAATTCCAAAAAATCCTAAAAGCTAACTACATCTGCTCTATTTTTTAATTTTTTTCCGTTTACGCAATTTTTTTTTTGTGATTTCGTTCCTTTTTGATTTTTTGATTAAGATATAAACTGCTACGGTACACTCTAACAACTACTAATTTCTGCATTTTACTGTTTTTCAGGCTCAGAAGATGGAGGGTAAACGTCAAAAGGTAGTTCAAGTAATCTAACTACTGGTAATATAAAAAGCTATCGTTAAGTAAGACTTATAATTGTACCTTTGTTTTCAATTAGCTGCTTCCGCTTCGTGCCTATGATTGTAGATGTTTTAATTTGCCTCATATCGTTTAGAGTTAATAAACGATTTGGTCCATCAATTATTAGCGAACTGTTAATGTAGTCCCTCAATCGCTTATTCATCGATTTGGTCCCCAAAAACAATTATTTTTAGTCGATTTAGTCCCTTAGGCCGTCTTCCGTCGACGGTCAGAGGGACTAAATCAACTAAAAATAATTATTTTCAGGGACCAAATCGACGGCCGTAGGGACTAAATCGACTAAAAATAATTGTTTTCAGGAACCAAATCTATGAATAGGCAATTAAGGGACTACATTGACAGTTTACTAATAATTGAGGGACCAAATCGTTGATTAACTCTATCGTTTATGTTGTTAGTAATTTTTGGCTGGAAAGCATGGATTTGAGAAGCTTTATGAAGTCTAAGTGAATGTTTTGTAGTTTACTTATTTGATGTTGAGTAATTATAGTTGTCAAAGAGCTTTTCACTAAAAAATTAACGGGATGACTATTAATTTTTTCATGAAATTGTTATCAATGTGTGCTATTTAATTTCTTCATTAAATGCACGTGTTCCCAATTTTGTCTTAATTTATATTATTATCAGTTTACTAACTTGTTTGTTCCCAGTATGTGGAAAATGATGAATCAGAATTCTGATGCCCAGATTTTTTTTTTTTTTTTTGAGTTTTTTTATTTCTGTTTCTACGTGTTAAAGGTTTATACTTAGCTGGGTAAGTCTTATGATTCTGTAGTATATTTTGTAAAATTAGTCAAATAGCTTTTCACTAAAAATTAACAGGGTTCTTGAAATTGCTATCAAAGTGTGCTATATAATTTCTTCATTAAATACACGTGTTCTCAATTTGGTCTAAATTGAAATTATTATCAGATTACTAACTTGTTTGTTCCCAGTATGTGGCAAATGATGAATCACAATTCTGATGCACATTTTTTTTTTCCAGTTTTATGATTTCTGTTTCTACGTGTTAAAGGTTTATACTTAGCTGTGCAAGTCTTATGATTCTGTAGTATATTTTGTAAAATTAGTCTTTTTTTTTTTTTTTTTTTTTTTTTTTGTTCAAGAGTAATGTAATAATCAAACCTCCTTTCTTAATGGTTTTGTAAATTTTCTTAATATACTGCTGATTAACAGCTGTCACATACCCTTAACTTTTTATAAATTTTACTGATTTAAAGTTCACAGTGTGCATTATTTCGCAAGTTTAATGAATTGAACTTATTATTTTAACTACTTACCATCAATGTAGTCATCTTTAACTCTGAATTCTGTTTTTTCCAACCAAAGTGAATGGCATTTTGAACTGATAGTGGCTATAACAAAACCATAAAGTCTATAACATTTTGAATGCCATTTTAATTTTCTTTAACAAATACAGAATGATTTAAGTCCAAAGTTGATGGCTTTTTCAAATTTGTTACTATTATTCTAAGTCCAATCTAATACAACATTTGACTACAATTTTTCCAACCAATCAGTACAAAGTCATTTATTAAAGTTTGTTTTAACAAATTCTAAACTTAACTCTTTTTTTTTTTGAAGTTATTTATTCATAACTTGCTGTGTACTATGATAAGAAATACCAAGTTAAAATGTTTTTATTATTATTATTATTTTTTTTTTATTTTTTTTTTTACATTACTCTTTATCTGATTCCTGGTTCTATTGATAAGTTCTACCATGTTTAGTGTTTTTAATTGATGCTTAACACAATTGCATATGTTTTAAAATCTTATAGTTTGCTTTATTTGATTTGTACTTGTGTGCTAAAATAAGAGTTACATCTAGCTTGATTTGATTTTAATTTGTTTGCTCAAATAAGACTTACATCTTAGCTTTATTTGATTTTTATTTGTTTGCTAATAAGACTTGCATATTGCTTTATTTGATTTTTATTTGTTTGCTTTAATTGGGACTTACATATTGCTTTATTTGATTTACATTATTTGAAATAACAAATACAGAAGGCAAAATTTGTTTTTTAATCGAGATTTGTTTTGGAAAGACTGTTTTAACAAATTTATAAGTTAACTATTTTCTGTAATCAAGGTATATATTCAACAATTGATGTGTATTTTGATATATATTTTATAAGTTATAAAGTTAAAATACACTTTCTAAGTTCTAAACAAATCCATAATTTACAGATTGATGGTCCACTACAATTTGATGGTACATTGCTGCTTATCTCATCCTGGGAATGTGAAGGATGACATATTGCTACCCAGGTGTCTTCATTTCTTGCACCTACTTTACTAATGTGTATTCAATATTTTTGATGCTCCATGCCTGTTTTTTTTGTGCTTGACATAAGAATAGTTAATTGTAAGTCCTGAAACCATTTTTAAAATAAATATTCAAAGATGGACTAATATCAACACACAAATCAAAACATAGAGAATAATATAAACACATGTATAAAAAGTAACCAATATAGATTTAGAATAATACAAGTTTTAATGTGAAATATGAGTTTTAAATTGACACTTAAGCCAATAGCATAATAGAAAGCATGAGTAGAATTGATAGCACTGTAATAGTGCTACCAATCAAATACATCCAAAATCCATGGAAAACAACATTACAGTTCTAAAACTTTGTCCCCACACACACAAACTTTAAATTTTCTCTTGTTTCACAGTGTCATTCTTGGACTTCTTATGTTTGTTAGATGAAGAGAACTGGTCCAGAATGCATATGTTTGTTAGATGAAGAGAACTGGTCCATAATGCATCTTTTGACAGTGTTTGAATTTTCAGTCTCATTTAGCTTAGGATTCTGTTGAGTCTGTGTCACTGGATTATTGACTTCATCACCTTTAGACCCTTCTTAGAAAAATAAGATAGTGAATACATTTGAAGTGTTTCAAAATAGAATGTAAATTAACAAACAGAAATATAAAATTATATTTACAATTTGTGAACTCTATATTTACAATTATAGAACTCTATGTTCACAATTTCATAACTCTATATTCACAATTATATAGAACTGAATATTCACTCACTGAGTTGTTTTCAATAATAATTAAAAAATCATTGGCTGCGGAAACAGTGCCACTAACAGCACTATTATTTTTACACGTGCAAACAGCGTCGTTTTGGGCCTGGGTCTAGGTCCATGGCATAACTATTGTTAGGAAACACAAAGAGATCAAAAGGAGGAAATTATTATTGTTGGAAAGATGTTCGAACCACAAATTATTCGGTGGACAGGTGGGCTTGAGTCCAAATGTTCACAATTTATCTTTTAACATAAAGTGGACTGAGGTCTACAGAATAATTTGCGTCTTATTTCTCCCCTGATCTTTGACTATTATTATGGATAACATAATGAAATATTATTCTATCTTTACAAAAATTTATTTTAAGGGGATGAAGCTATACAAGGTAAATATATTTCAGTAATAATGTAATCTGTTTATTCACAAAAGTAATAATTTACTATTATATTGAATGATGTTTATCATTGACTATAGTAATTTATTCACATTTACACGAGAAATTATTACAGAAACATACATTTAAGAGTTAACATTAAAACTCTCATTAAAGATATTTTTTCTATTCTGAAAATCACATAATTAATGATATTTGAGTAATTTTGGACCGATAGTATATAATCTGCAACTAACATATAAAATCAATGTAATCCCCGAATTATGTTCATATTATTTGTGTTTGCACTTCATGTTAAAATTAATGTACTTTAATTTTAATTTTTTCATGTAAAAAAATACTCGTATACGGCCTATTATTAATCTTGTAATACTTGATCGTGCATCATGTAGACATGCGTTTATAACATGATAGCAAAACGAGCTCACGAGTTCAATTCTTATCAATACTCTCTTGATTGAGTATGCCCTATAGGGTTTTCCTAAAGTGATTTACCCTTTTCCGTGCAATTTGTGTGCTATTACATAAGAGATGATTTTTTTCTGAGCAAATTTTGAGTACAATTAATTAAATCAAAGCTATTTAATTTATTCTTTGTTGACTACATGCTACGCTCCTAAACACTCACATTCGCACATATGCTTCATGAAATAAAACATAAATTAAGGTGAAGTAAATTAAAACAAAGCCATTTAATTTATTTAACAATCAATATGGTACAAGAGGTGACATGAATGTTTAATCGTTTAACCCTCTAAGTACCTAAATATAAAAACTATCTTTAATTTAAATTTAATTTCTTTTGAGTACACAAAAGAAATTAAGCATTAAATGGCTCTAGAAGCACTAACATATAACTCATCATGTTGATGGGTCAAAGCTACGGGAGAAGTCCAACCAATCATTCGGGTTCGCTATCAAAGAACCCCAACCAAAATTTGTGTATCCATCGGTGGTGCGGCTGCCCACGGAGGCATTCAATGGAAAGGAGTTAGATGAACTAGCTCCATCATTATTGTTCAAAAAGAAATTCTGACCATAATCCCTAGTTGTAGGCTGGAAAGCGTATTGGCTTGAGTTATACGGTGGCTCAATAATTCTCATTGGGTTTACCATATTGAGATACCCATTTTCAACACGATAAGGTGTCACCGTCGGAGGAAGCGCTAAAGGACCAAAAGTTACTGGAGCTACATTTGCTCGTGGACAAGATGGTTGGAGTTGAGGCGAAGATGGTTGAACCCTCTTATTCTCATACCTACCGGTAGATTTCCTTCCCTTGTGGGACTTTCCGCCAATGGGGATGTCACGTAGAATGCCACCATGAGTCCAGTAGCGCTTGCATGTCCGACAGTAATACCTTGGTTGATTCATGCTGTAGTTGTTAAAATAACAAAATTTGGTGTCGTTGGAATGACAACGAGGACATTCTCTTGGTGGAGGAGGAGAGCCAAGGGACTCCATCGTCCTCAACCTCCTAACCGGCGGCAATGGCGGATGATAATCACCAACTCCGTTACCTTGTTCCATCACTCTCAAGCTAATTTAATTTGCAATTGGAATATAATGAATTGCAAAACTTTACATAACTGGAGCCATTTTATACCCAAAAAAAAAACTCGGCAATAAATGATAAACACATTGTAATCTACGCAAAATTGAGAAAATATGCGTAATAAAATTAAATGTTATCTATCTTCGTAACAACTAACATTTTTCTTTAATGTATATTACAAATATAATTTCGATTTGCTCAATCCGAATTTAATATAGTATTAATTTTCATTTCTTTGTAATTTCAAACTCCCACTTAATGTGTGTAGTGTTCATCCCATTAGCTTTGTATTTTGTTTGGGCCTTGTTTTTTGCATTGAGTTCGTTTCATTTGTATGCTAGACCATTTGACTGTGCCTCTTTTGGTCCAAGACTTCTCTTATTCGGTCATTGCTTCCACATCAACCAAGTTTAATCAAGTGACCTTCATCCGCTAATCCGGCGTCTAACCCGCATAGTCCAGTCATCCACAACCTCGGTTGCATGCCACTAGCCCCATACCGTAATTTGCATACTGTTTCTCTCTCCCTCCCCAACCAATTAACATTCAACCCTTTCCGAAAACAATATTTATTAACCCAACCCCCCACTACTCAATCATTATTGCATGGAACATGATACACACAATTGTGTGGATCATAAATAAAAAGTACATTTTTAATATACTAATCGTAAGTTATTTATATACGTAACATACATTATTTGAGAGTACATTATTTTATATATACTATCAAATAATGTACATTTTGTATATTAAAAATATACCATATATTGATGGTACATGATGAGAAATTATTACAGAAACATGCATTTAAGAGTTAACATTAAAACTCTCACTAATGATATTTTTTCTATTCTGAAAATCACATAATTAATGATATTCGAGTAATTTTGGACCGATAGTATATAATCTGCAACTAACTACAAATTTCAAACTCCCCCATAATGTGTGTAGTGTTCACCCCATTAGCTTTGTATTTTGTTTGTGCTTGTTTTGTGCATTGGTTGCCTTGAAAAAATATGCGTAATAAAAATTAAATGTTATCTATCGTCGTAACAATTCACATTTTTCTTTAATGTATATTACGAATATAATTTCAATTTCCTCAACCCGAATTTAATATAGGATTTAATTTCATTTCTTTGTAATTTGAAACTCCCCCTTAATGTGTGTAGTGTTCACCCCGTTAGCTTTGTATTTTGTTTGGGACTTGTTTTGTGCATTGATTGCATTGATGATGCCCATTGGGTGTTTAGGACAAATGAGACTCGCCTTTGGTGCTAGGTTGTGGCTTTTGGGGTAAAACGGTCATTTTTAGATTTTTAGAAAGGGGGAATTTAAGATCGACAATCAATTCTATCGTGCGCTTCTCGTGCGATAGATGCATGGTTTAATTTGCAATTTTTAAGTGTGTGTTAGACCATTTGGCTGTGCTAGGTTGTGGATTTTGGGATAAAACGGTCATTTTAAATTTTTTGTTTTTAAAAAAGGGGGAATTGAAGATCGACAATCAATTTTTTTTAATCTCGATGGAGGAGGAGAACCATGGTACTCCGTCGTCCTCAACCTCCTAGGCGGCGGCGGTAGTGGCAGATGATAATCACCAACTCCGTTACTTTGTTCCATCACTCCAAAGCTAATTTAATTTGCAATTTGAATATAATGAATTGAAAAACTCTAATAACCTGGAGCCATTTTATACGGAAAAAAAAAAAAAAAAAACTCAACAATAAATGATAAACAGGTTGTAATCTACGCATAATTAACAAAATATGCCTAATAAATTAATTTTTCTCTTCTTCATCACAACTTGCATTGTTGTTCTTCAATGTATATTACGATTATAATTTAAATTTCCTGAATCCAAATTTAATATAGTAAATTAGTAATTAATGTTCATTTCTTTGTAATTTCAAACTTCCCCTTAATGTGTGTAGTGTTCAGACCATTTGGCTGTGCCTCTTTTGGTCCTTGCTTCCACATCACCCACGACTCCATGAGTGAATTGAAGATCGACAATTAATCTTTAGTTGATGTGCGCTTCTCGTGCGATAGATACATAAATAGTGTCTTTCTGCAGTTGTGTTTTTGTTCAGTGTTAGTTCGTCCTTAGCTCTCACTGTTGCTTTGGTTGCGACAAATAGAATCATGTTGTTGTGAGTCGAGTTTAAATTTGTGTGCATAGTATATGTTTTGTGTGTTTGATATATTTTCATTTAATGTTTATATTGAATGTTATGTGCGTAACTTAATATATTTTTAATGTTTTTTATTTGTGTTGAAATTCAGTTCCAAATATCCGAACAGTTTTTTTTTTTTTTTTTTTTTTTTTTTTTTTTTAATAAAAAAACTTAAAATGATTGTTTTACCCCATGAATAACATTTTAAAAGCATTTACGTTTTTTTGGCAATATTTGGTTGGCGATTTAGTCAAAAGGACCAAATGTGTAAAACATTGCATAGTTATGAAGCTAAAATGTTAGTTTTGAAAGTCAAATACTTTTTTTTTTTTTTTGGAAGAAACAACTTAATTCATTAAATCAGTAGCAAGAATCTGAGCAAGATATGGCGGTGACATATCAAACCACTCACCGCAACCTGACATGGAAACGGATGCCCGAACTAACGCATTGGCCGCACAATAGTCACATTATCAAAATGGAGAAATGGAAGATTTTCCAAAAAAGTACAAAATTGGAGAGGTAGAAAAATGAAAAATGGAAAAGTTGTTTACTAAAATTCTTTCTCCAAATCCTATTTCCATCTCCTTTCTCCACCTTTCTTAAGGAATTTGGAGAAAAGAAAAACCAATGTCTCCAAATGGAGAGATGGAGTGATGTGCGTGAATAGTGTTTCTTTCCATGAGGTCCTGTCATTGATTTCCACCAACCACGTTAATGCATTCCTTTTCCCCTCCCCCAACGCACAGCCCCCAGTTTTTTTCCTTTCTTTTGTTCTACACCCACTCCCCCTGGTCCGTGCAAACAAGTGAATAACATTATTATTATTTATTTAATTTTTACCATTTTTTCGTTTTGTTACTTATTATTATTATTATTATTATTATTATTATTATATTTATATTAATTTTTATTATTATGTTCTCAAATTATGCATTAAAATTATTGAAATAGTTACAGACCTAAAAAAATTATTGAAATAGTTGTAATTTATTTAGTAATATGTTTTTATCGACTTTTGTTACATTTTGTACATTTAGTATTAGTGTATTGAATTTTTATTTAAAAATTAAATTTTCAATGTACTAAAATTATTGAAATAGTTACAAACCTAAAAAAAATTATTTTGAAATAGTTGTAATTTATTTAGTAATATGTTCTTATCGAATTTTGTTACATTTTGTACATTTAGTATTATTGTATTGAATTCTTTATTTAAAAATTAAATTTGTAAAATGAAATTATTATTATTATTCCAAAAGGCTGAACCCCAACCCTAAGGGCCCCCCACACCCCGGCCCGACAGAACATTTGGGAGGATGTAAATCATGGTGACTCAACTGAACATGAACTATAGAGGCTAGACCGGTGCTCACTGCGCACAAGAAGCCCTCCTCACTTTGAGAGGTTGCTCCCACACTGCCGCTGGTGAGACTCAATCCCCGGTCATTATTCTAAAGTTTCACCTCTTTGACCAGTTGAGCTACCCATGCGGGCAAAGTGTGGACTACTTGTGCTCGGTATTATGAAATTTGTAAGTGAAATCAGAAAATTGAAGAAATGAAAAACTGGATAAATGGAGATGGAAAACTGGATAAATGGAGATGGAAAACTGGAAAAATGAAAAAATGGAAAACTGGAAAACTGGAAAAGGAAAAACAGAGAGATGAAGTAAACGACCCCTTTTTCATTTTAGGAATTGGATAAAAATATGTAATGCACCGTTCCATCACCGTAAATGATGGTGACAATTTGATGTAGATTTTAGGAATTGAATGATGTGTATCATTGACTATTGTAATTTATTCACAGGTACATGAGAAATTCAAATTATTACAGAAACATGCCTTTAAGAGTTAACATTAAAACTCTCATTAAAGATATTTTTTCTATTCCGAAAATCACATAATTAATGATATTTGATTAATTTTGGACAAATAGTATATATATATATATATATATATATATATATATATATATATATATATATATATATATATATATATATATATATATATATATATATATATTTGAAGGGTAAAAACTTTATTCAGACTTAAGAAATATATTGTTCAATACATGAAGGAATTGAAGAAAACCAAGTAACATGACCAGAATAAGAACTAGCAGAACGAGCTAAAGCATGAGCTCGTTTGTTCACTGATCGCGAGACAAACTCAATAGACACTGATTCAAAGTGTCGTTTCAAGGCTCGGCACTGATTGATAATATTGCCTGCATAGGAAGTATCCGAGAGATTTTGGTTTAAGAACATGCACACCAACTGACAGTCCGAGTGGATGATGACATTACGCTAACCTTGAGATATGATCCAAGATAGCGCTTCCTTGATAGCTATGGCTTCTGCAAGATGTTGATCCCTTAGACAACGGACAAATAGTATATATAATTTGCAAGGACTACAACTAACATATAAAATCAATGTAATCCCCGAATTATGTTCATATTATTTGTGCTTGCACTTTATGTTAAAATTAATGTACTTTAATTTGTTTTCATCTAAAAAAAATACTTGTATACCGTTATAATGTTATATATACATATAGGGGCATGATCAATTGAGAACCACCTCTCTGGTGTGAACTACTAAAAGGGGTGTCACCATCGGAGGATGCACCAAAGTACCGAAAGCTAGTGGAGCCACATTTGCTTGTGGACAAGATGGTTGGAGTTGATGCGGAGATGGTTGAACCCTCTTATTCTCGTACCTGTTCGTAGATTTCATTCCCTTGTGGGACTTTTCGTTAATGGGGATGTCACGTTGAATGCCACCATGAGTCCAGTGGCGCTTGCATGTTCGACAGTAATACATTGGTTGATTCATGTTGTAGTTGTTAAAATAACAAAATTTGGTCTCGTTGGAATGGCAACGAGGACATTGTCTTAGTGGAGGAGGAGAGCCAAGGTACTCCATCATTCTCAACCTCCTAACGGCGGCAGTGGCGAATGATAATCACCAACTCCGTTGGCTTGTTCCATCACTCTCAGGCTAATTTAATTTGCAATTGGAATATAATGAATTGAAAAACTCTACATAACTAGAGCCATTTTATATGGAATAAACTCAGCGATAAATGGTAAACATATTGTAATCTATGCACAATTGATAAAATATGCATAATAAAATTAATTGTTATCATCTTCATAACAACTTGCAATTTCTTCAATGTATATACGAATATAATTTCAATTTCCTGAAAGGGGGAATTGAAGATCGAGAATCGATTGTTTTTAATCTGCAGGTTTGCGGTGGTGGTCAACCTGCAGAATTTGGCTCTACTGGTTCCGCCGCCACCAAGAAACCCGACACCCAGGAGTGAATTGAAGATCAAAAATTATCCTTAGTTTTCGTGCGTTTCTCGTGCGATAGATGCCTGGTTTAATTTGTTACCCCATACATGAGTAGTGTCTTTCTGGAAAGATTATTGAGCTATCAAAAAATAGAGAATAAAAAAAAATGTGAAAAAAAGGTATTTCGGACTTGGATAGACCGACTTTCAATAATAGAGAGTCGGACTCCCCAAAGTAGGTTTTTCTCATTTTGTATCCACAACCCTTGCATGACATTTCAATATCCAATTATTCCAGACGTACTATTCGTGTTTATGATTCGACAACTCCATTGCCTTGTTCCATCACTTTCAAGCTAATTTAATTTGCAATTGGAATATAATGAATTGAAAAACTCTACATAAGTATATCCAATTTATGCGGGAAAAAACACGGCAATTAATGGTAAGCAGATTGTAATCTACGCACAATTGATAAAATATGCATAATAAAATTAATTGTTATCATCTTCATAACAACTTGCAAATTTTTCAATGTATATTACGAATATAATTTCAATTTCCTGAATCCAAATTTAATATAGTAAATTAGTCATTAATGTTCATTTCTTTGTAATTTCAAACTCCCCCTTAATGTGTGTAATGTTCATCACCCAGGACTCCAGGAGTTAATTGAAGACCGACAATTAATCCTTAGTTTCGGTGCGCTTCTCATGCGATAGATACATAAGTAGTGTCTTTCTGCAGTTGTGTTGTTGTTCAGTGTTAGTTCGTCCTTAGCTCCCACTGTTGCTTTGGTTGCGACAAATAGAATCATGTTTTTTGAAAATCATTAGTTGTGAGTCGAGGAAAATAAAATAGGAGGATTTTGTTTTTATATAGATATATAGATATATAGATTATTATTATTATTATTATTATTATTATTATTATTATTATTATTATTATTAAGGTAAGTAATTATGGCGTTTGGCTGTAAAATAATAATTATTAATTTGATAGGATTGCCATCTTATTAGAGAGGATTTAATAATAATAATAATAATAATAATAATAATAATAATAATAATAATAATAATAATAATAATAATAATAATTGAGGTAAGTAATTATGGCGTTAGGTTGTTAGCTTATTATTATAGCAGTAACGTAATAGGATTGCCAGCATATTGGGGATGACTACCAGCATATTGGATTCCAAAGTAATATTTTTATAATTTAAGAAGTAAAGATTACAGTTTTACCGTAATAAATTTAAATTTTGGAAATAAAGATTGGAGACTAAAATAGGTTAACCATTGAATTGGAGTGTTACTGTAATCAATTAACCGTAATAATTATCGTATAGAATATCAAGAAAAATGACCACAAAACTAAGTTTGTTCTTTAAAAAATCCTGTGTTTATTTATTATATGTTGATATCAAAGTAATTTTGTTTTTTTAAAAATCACATGCCTACCGTAAATATATTTAAGTACTCTGTAATAATTTAATCTGTTCATTTACAAAAGCTTTAATTTACTATTATATTGAATGATGTGTATCATTGACTATGGTAATTTATTCACAGGTACATGAGAAATTATTACAGAAACATGCATTTAAGAGTTAACATTAAAACTCTCATTAAAGATATTTTGTCTATTCTGAAAAGCACATAATTAATGATATTATATTTGAGTAATTTTGGACCGATAGTATATAATCTGCAACTAACTTATAAAATCAATGTAATCCCCAAATTATGTTCATAGTATTTGTGCTTGCACTTCATGTTAAAATTAATGTACTTTAATTTTTTTTTTTCATGTAAAAAAATACTCGTATACCGATATAAATACATATAGAGGCAGGATCAATTGAGAAATATCTTTCCATTACGAACTATCTATTGTGCATCTTGTAATGCTTGATTGTGCATTATGTAAACATGATTTACAATTATGAAGTTGATTACCGCTAATACCCAAACTACAAATTATCTTTTATGTTTCTTTAAAGATAATATAATACTGCAAAATAAAATTACTTACTAGTTTAAGAAATTATAATACATTTATAATGATATGTATGGACAATGATTTAAGATGAAGGAGATAAAAGATAACAAGCATATGTGGACTGTGGTTGACATGCTACGCACCTAAACACTCACATTCGCACATATGCTTCATGAAATATAATATAACATAAATTAAGGTGAAGTAAATTAAACAAAGCCATTTAATTTATTTAACAATCAATTCGGTACATGAGGTGACATGAAAGGTTACTTGTTTAACCCTCTAAGTACCTATATAAAAAACTACCTTTAATTTAAATTTAATTTCTTTTGTAGTACTCAAAAGAAATTAAGCATTAAATGGCAATACAAGCACTAACATATAACTCTTCATATTGGTGGGTCAAAGCTATGAGAGAAATCCAACCAATCATTCGGGTTCACTACCAATGAACTCCAACCATCATTTGTGTATCGTCCAACGGTGGTGTCACTGTACACGGAGACATTCAATGGAATGGAGTTAGATGAACTAGCTCCATCATTGTTGTTCAAAAAGAAATTTTGGGTCCTTGAACCATAATCCCTAGTTGTAGGCTGGAAAGCATTTTGGCTTGAGTTATATGGTGGCTCAATAGTTCTCAGTGGGTTTACCATATTGAGATACCCATTTTCGACACGATAAGGTGTCACCGTCGAAGGAATCGCCAAAGGACCGAAAGTTACGGGAGCTACATTTGCCCGTGGACAAGATGGTTGGAGTTGAGGCGGCGATGGTTGAACCCTCCTATTCTCGTACCTGTTGGTAAATTTCCTTCCCCTGTGGGGCTTGCCGCCAATGGGAATGTCACGTTGAATGCCACCATGAGTCCAGTGGCGCTTGCATGTCCGACAGTAATACCTTGGTTGATTCATGTTGTAGTTGTTAAAATAACAAAATTTGGTGTCGTTGGAATGACAACGAGGACATTGTCTTGGTGGAGGAGGAGAACCATGGTACTCCGTCGTCCTCAATCTCCTAGGCGGCGGCGGTGGCGGCGGCAGTGGCAAATGATAATCACCAACTCCGTTACTTTGTTCCATCACTCTCAAGTTAATTTAATTTGCAATTGGAATATAATGAATTGAAAAACTCTAATAACCTGGAGCCATTTTATACGAAAAAAAAACTCAACAATAAATGATAAACATGTTGTAATCTACGCATAATTAACAGAATATGTGTAATTCGTGCAATATGTGTAATATGTGTAAAGCCTTCATTTATGATCTTTGCGGTTTTGCCGCCATTCGGGCAATTCGTCTACAATAAAATCTGATCGTTTGTTTAAAAAAAAAAAAAAAACACAATATGTGTAATAAATTAATTTTTCTCCTTCTTCATCACAACTTGCATTGTTGTTCTTCAATGTATATTACGATTATAATTTAAATTTCCTGAATACAAATTTAATAGAGTAAATTAGTAATTAATGTTCATTTCTTTATAATTTCAAACTTCGCCTTGTGTAGTGTTCAGCCCATTAGCTTTGTCCCGAGATTAACGACAAAATTAACGGACACTCAAATTGGTTAACATTTTCAAAGTCGAATAATTTAATTGGGTCTGAATAATTGTCGAGGACCAAATTGATAATTTCGTAATAGTCGAGGAACCATTTCGGTAATAAACTCTAAAATTAATTGTTATCCATCTTCATAACAACTTGCAATTTTCTTCAATGTATATTACAAATATAATTTCAATTTCAGAATCCAAATTTAATATAGTAATTAATGTTCATTTCTCTGCATTTTCAAACCCCCCCTTAATGTGTGTAGTGTTCAGCCCATTAGCTTTGTATTCTGTTTGGGCCTTGTTTTGTGCATTAAGTGCCTTTCATTTATGTGCTAGATCATTTGGCTGGGCCTCTTTTGGTCCAAGACTTCTCTTATTTGGTCCTTGCTTCCACATCAACCAAGTTTAATCAAGTGACCTTCATCCGCTAGCCTGGCGTCTAACCCGCATAATCCAGTCATCCACAGCCTTGGTTTCATGCCACTAGCCCCATAGGCTTCCCGCTCCATTAACTCACCCCACCCACGATCCACCTTTCTTCCCTTTTCTTTTTCTTTTTTTTTTTTGTTTTTTTTTTTACATATTTTTTAAAATTTCCCCTTTCCTTTCTTCTTTTTCTTAGATTGCCTTGATACCCGAATTTTTTCCACGTCCCCGACGGGGACGGGAATCCTCGACGAAGGCGGGGCACATTGTCATCCTTATATGCGAATAAGGAAATCAATGTCTAGAGATTTACATGCTTTTTTTTTTTAAATTTGATTGGGCTGACTGTCCTGAGGATCATAAGTCAACTAGTGGTTATGCTGTTTTTCTTGGTTCCAATCTTATATCATGGGTATGTAAGAAACAAAATACTGTTGCTAGATCATCTACTGAGACTGAATATAAAGCTCTAGCAGATGTCTATGCTGAGGTTATTTGGATTCTCTCTCAGCTGCGTGAAATTGCTGTGACCGGTGTGTCTACTCCCAAGCTGTGGTGTGACAATCTTGGTGCTACATACATGTATGCAAATCCTATTTTTAATGCTCAGACTAAGCATGTAGAAATTGATTATCACTTTGTTAGAGACAGAGTTGCAAATGGAGATATACAGGTTAATTTTATTTTGACCAAGGATCGGATCAACTGGCAGATATCTTTACTAAAGGCCTAAAGCTCTACCTAGCCCTAGATTTTCTTTTCTTAGAGACAAGCTACAAGTCACTACTATACCTTGTGCTTGCGGGAGAGTATTAGGACTCTATGTGTTTGAGTTAAATTATGATTCCTTATCCCAATCTCGATGAGTCTCTCTCTTTATATATACCTGTAATATGTACATTTGTTATCACATTATTTAATACAATTCATTCAGTTCTCATCGTCCGATCCACAAATAAATTTAATGCCAACCTAACATTGTAACTACCCGGCGGCAGTGGCAGGTGATAATCACCAACTCGGTTACCTTGTTCCATCACTCTCAAGCTAATTTAATTTGCAATTGGAATATAATGAATTACAAAACTCTACATAACTGGAGCCATTCTATACCAAAAAAACTCAGCAATAAATGGTAAACACATTGTAATCTACGCAAAATTGAGAAAATATGCGTAATAAATTTTATATATCTTCGCAACTAACATTTTTCTTTAATGTATATATATATTACGAATATAATTTCAATTTTCTCAATCCTAATTAAATATAGTAATTAATTTTCATTTTTTTGTAATTTCAAATTCCCCCTTAATGTGTTTAGTGTTCAGCACATTAGCTTTGTATTTTGTTTGGGCCTTGTTTGTTTCATTTGTGTGCTAGACCATTTGACTGGACCTCTTTTGGTCCAAGACTTCTCTTATCCAGTTCTTGCTTCCACATCAACCAAGTTTAATCAAGTGACATTCATCCGCTAGCTCGGCATCTCACCCGCATAGTCCGGTCATCCACAGTCTCGGTTGCATGCCACTAGCCCATAGGCTTCCTGCCCCATTAACTCACCCCTCCCCCGATCCACCTTTTTTCTTTTTTTACATATTTTTTTAATCCCCCCTTTCCTTTCTTCTTCTTAGATAGCCTTGATGATACCCATTTGACAATTTGATGTAGATTTTAGGAATTGGATAAAAATATTTAATATACCGTTCCTATCACCATTTTAAAAATAGGTATATTGTTCTGTGCATTTAATGAAGAGAGAGAAACGGCATTTGCATACCGTTTCTCTCTCCCTCCCCAACCAATTCACATTCAACCCATTCCCTAAACAATATTTATTAGCCCAACCCCCCACTACTCAATCATTATTGCATGGAACGCGATCTATACAATCGTGTGAATCATAAATAAAAATTACATTTTTAATATACTAACGGTACATTATTTATATACGTAAAGTACATTATTTTAGTACTGAAAGTACATTATTTTATATATACTATCAAATAATGTACATTTAGTACACAAATAATATACATTTAGTATATTAAAAATGTACCATATAACAATTGGGACTGACCTATTTCTAACCCAAATAACAACCTCTCTTATTTCTTCCATGACCTTTGACTATTATTATTGATAACATAATGAAATATTATTCTATCTTCACAAAATTTATTTTAAGGGGATGAAACTATAAGGTAAATATATTTAAGAACTCTGTAATAATTTAATCTGTTTCTTTACAAAAGCTTTAATTCAGTATTATATTGAAGTAGTATTTTCACCCGTGCGATGCACGAAATTAATTTGTTATAATATACTAAGAATATTTAGATCGATGTATAATATTTAAATTAGATCATCAAATATTATATAGTGCAATTTAATATGTGGTTTGGATTATTTATGTGTTTTGATATACGCATGTTGTGTTGTAACTTTGGTGATTTTATTTATTATTGTTTAGTATTTTTTTTTATAAATTAGGCAAATGTGTTCGTTCTCTATAATAATAGTCCATTAGCGATCCTTTTATATTAGTCAATTAGTAATATCAAATTCATTTTCAGTCAATTATTCTATTTTATTTTTAGTCAATTAGAATATCATATGCAATGATATTTTTACTTAATTTCCGTTCCATTTTTAATTGATGATATATGATATTATTATGGGAAAATAGCAATTTTTCTCCCTGAGTTATATACTCAAAGTATTCCACACCCCCCCCCCCCCCCCACCCCCCCCCCCTCCCGAATTATTCAAGTGCTTATTTTTTTCCCTTAAAATGTTAAATGGACAAAATTACTCTAAATTATCACCACGATTTGGTTCAAATCAAACACACTATAGCAACCAAATGGAAATATTCTAATTACAATTTAAAATCGAAACCTGATATTTAGAGTTTATTAAAATCACGAACCGGAACAGCCAGTTCATGTTCTGAACTAAAATATAAAATAAAATACATTTATTGTTGGATTTAGAATATTTTAAAATAAAAAATACATTTTTTAAATAAAGCCGATTCAAAATCGTGAACCGGATTCGGAACCGCCGATTCACGGTCCATGATCCAGTTTTTTTGATTCATAATTTTAATAAACTAAAATCTCATAGGAAAAGAAAAAAAAAAAAAAAAAAAAAAAAACAATACACGACCATTCTTGGTCAAGAATGCTCGCGTATTACTGACAATGCGAGACCATTTAGAAATGGTCACGTAAAGTCGATGCCTTTCCGCGAGCCTCTCATAAGCAGCCATTGTACAATGGTCGCCTATTGTCTTTTAGAATGGTAGCGTATCTGCAATTTTGTACTAGTGTGAATTGAAAAACTCTACATAACTAGAGCCAATTTATACAGAAAAAAAACTCGGCAATAAATGATAAGCAGATTGTAATCTACGCACAATTGATAAAATATGCATAATAAAATTAATTGTTATCATCTTCATAACATGGTTGCAGTAGGCGTTAGGAACTAGTCGGGCGCCCGGACAGTGCCTAGCGCCTAGGCGGGCGCCAAAAAAACAGTGGTAGACTTGCAGTTTGACAATTTTAATGAGGTTGTTTTCAACATTTAATCAAATAACACATCCAAATAAATGAATTAATGATATTCGTAAGTCATAACATCAAAACAATGGTTTTAAAAAAAAACATTAAAACAATATTAAAAATTAAAAATACTCAAATATGAAATACTCAAATACTTCAATCATCTAAAGATTCAAAGTATCAAACTAGTTTACGAGTGTATATATGTCATATTATATATATGTATGCGCGCGCGCGCAGACACACACATATATATAATAAAAAAAATAGGCTGAGCCGATCGAGTTAACTGGACCGAAATGGACGAGTTAACTCGACTAACTTAGACGCTAGGCGGCCAAATCGACCGAGTTAGGCGCTAGGCGGCCGGTAACCTAGGCGGGCGCCTAGGGGGGAAATCGCCATGGTCTAGAGGCGCCTAGCGCCTAGGCGGGCGCCTAGACCGATTTTTACAACCCTGCTTCATAACAACTTGCAATTTTCTTCAATGTATATTACGAATATAATTTCAATTTCCTAATCCAAATTTA